GTGAGTTTCATTTCTCTGGGATTTCACTGTCTCAGCATTTTAGTTTCATATCCCATTAAAGAAATAAACATGGACCTGTTATCCAGAGGCTTATTTGTAATGTTCAGCTTAAACTCTGAAGGATGAGGCGTAGCATCGATCACACCGCATTTTACTGATTATGTCAGAAATGCTATTTGCATTTCTGAATACTGAATTAACAAAATGTAGGTCAACTTGGGGTTTTGTTAAAGGCCTGTTAAACTTCTCAGCACTTTAGCTAAATCACTGCACTGAAGCCAGTATGACTTTGAGGTGACAACATGCACTATGAAGGAATAATCACACTGCAGCTTACAGACACAGATTGAATATTTGATATTCATACAAACTCCCATTCCTGCCAGTGCACTTCAGCCTGTTAACTGCGACCCTAAATCAAATCTTGGGTTACTAGAGGTTACTACAGTCTCCCTGGAACATAAAACCTACTGTATGGCTACTCTGGTTTCATATAACAGCCATGTCACTAGTTAATGATTTAAAATTTTACCCTCTGTGAGAAATTCGCATTCCACTGGAGTGCTGAAGTGGTTCCCCTCCTCCCTTTTTTTTCCTGTTCTTAAATGCTACTTTAATGTTAAATTCTGAAGCTAATATTATAAAAAGCTGTTGAGAAAACGTCTCAGGATCATTAACATATGTTCAAGTGTTTGAGTGCTCTGAATCCTGGTGATGTAATGGCAAAAAAAGAATATTGAAAATATTTTCATCAATTTTCAAATTTATTTTTTTAATGAAGACACAATGAGAAACACTTATTTTGCCTTTTAACTTGAGAACTTCAGAACTCATTATTTAAAACTATAACAAATATTGGTCTCACTGCTGGTTTTTCCAATTTTATTTGAAAGAAAGGAAGGCAAAAAAGTTTGCCTGTTTGCAAAAAGGACTCACACTGTGATTAAAAAAATTTTTAATGGTTTAAGTTCCACTGTGAATCTTTTCCATATAATTTATTGCAGAAAAAAATACATAACTGTAGGGACACAAAAACATTCAGTTACTCTAAATAACTGAAACTAGATGCACAGCTGACAAATTTTACACAAGTCAAGAAAGATGTACCTGAGGAGAAAAAACAAAACACAGCCTGAAGGAGGTACCTGAAGGACTTGACTATTATTATGCTCCTATTTAACTTGACATATTGAAACAGCCAAGAATTTGCATAATTTATGAGGATCAAATTAAAACAAGTCAGGATAATAGGGAAATTCACATCTTTGGACTGAATGGCTATTGCCCACCCATCACCACATTCTCAATGTTACACTCAGTGCAGAGGTCTGTCAGCATTGCTGCTTTCTGTACATTTAACCATAGAGATTTTACATTAGAGGTCTCTGTTCTGTTCAACTAATAAGAATTAATAAAAAAATTTTAAAAATATCCCTGTTGATTTTATCAGTAGAACTGATTATACAGAGATTCAGATTTTTAGTTTTTGTGTGTCATTTCTATTTATATTTTTCTTAGTGGCTCACATTTCTCCCTGATACAACTAACCCCCTTTGACATATTTGTATCTCTATTTTAAGTTACAAGTCTCCTTAATATTGCTGATTTCCACAAGTGCCAAATGAGGACAATATAAAATATTTCTGCAAGAATTAGCATTTCCCTTACTTAAAAAACTAGCAGGGAATTACATTCTCCATGAATTCTAGCACTAAAAACATTTTCAAGCACCTTTGTACCACTTCCAGTTGGGAGAACATAAGTTTCTATTTCCCAGAACTAATTTAACAACATAGATAGGGACCCAGATCTTCCAGCAGCATGAACACCACAAGGTATTTGAGAACATTACAATAATAATAAAAAAATATGGTTGTAGCAAACCTTCCATGCTCAGCTTTCATTCTGACAGACAACTAAATACAGTGCACCACCATGTGGCAACATTTTAGGGAATGGTTCACATTCCAAGATCTGTTTTTTTCCACCTTCAAATTTTTTTGCTATCTTTTAAAAAATAAACGTTAACAAATCCATCTGAGGATTTATAAGCTCCTCTTTAACAAGTTGTCACAGTTTCCCTTATCTCAAAAGCTAATTTTTAATACATCTCGATCAGCAAGGAAATATTTGGGCATTTTTATTTGTAAAGCACAATATTTACCTAAAAACAGAACTGCCCCAGGACCAGAGAACAGCTCTGTTTCTTGCCAACTGCACTCCCTTGCTCGGGAGAAATTTGGCACGAGCATGTACTGCACATTGAGCCCCTTTTAAGACATAAATACACTTCAACAAAAATAAAATATCAAGCTAAATACTGGACTAATGGCTGATTAAAAGCTTCCAAAAAATCTTGGGGGGGGGGAAAATCCAAATCAAACCTTCAAAGGTATACACATGTATTATTTAGCAGCTGCTTGGTTACTGTAAAACTCCTCCTCTTCAGCTTAACAACTAGCAAATAAATTCCATTTTTCCACAAGAAACACCAACAGAAGGTCCCCAAACCCTCAAGAAAACCCTGATTCCCCAAGCCACCACATGCCACTTACTACCTTGGAATTTATTTCTGCAGCCAAGTGCTAAACTCCGAGGAAAAAACAGGTTTTCATTAAAGTGGATGGACAACCTCTGCTCACACAGCACAGTGCTGCCGAATTTCACTGCACGACATTTCAGAATTAAGGCTCAGGTGATTCTTGACTTCATTAAACAAAGAGTTAATTCATTATGCCTTAACATATTTGTTAGCCATTTTGCACCAATACATTCAGTCCAATCTGAACTAGCAGTGAAGACTCACTTAACGTGAGTCTCCTGCTAGGAACCTCTCTGTGCTCCCCATCTCCGCTCCAGACTCTCCCACAGCTCTCCAGACCTAAGGGCTTAGCTAAGAAATTTGACAGAAAATTGGGTGACACGACATATGCAGCCACACCAGGAAGCACAACGAGTTTCCACAAGCTCCATACCTCCAGCACTGGGAAAACCTGTAGTGAAAGAGGTTGGAGCAAGCAGCACTCACTCTCCTTCCAGAGCTCAGGACAGACAGACGTGCAGTTCTTTCTGCAGAAGTTGCTCTGAGTGATTTGAGAGCCTCACCACAGAGCACATCGTCAATCCAACGCTTCGACCACATTAAAAAAACCCACCCAAAACCAGAAAAAAAATCATTCACCTCCTGCATGAAGATCATGCTGAAGTTTCCCTGTTTCCAACTCT